GGGGCTGGGATGGGGTTGGGGGGGGCTGGGATGGGGTTGGGGTTGGTGGGCTGGGTTGGGGGCTGGGATGGGGTTGGGGGGCTGGGATGGGGTTTGGGTGCTGGGATGGGGTTGGGGTTTGGGGATGGGTCGGGGTTTAGGATGGGGTTGGGGGCTGGGATGGGTTGGGGCTGGGTTGGGGTTTGGGATGGGGTTGGGGGCTGGGATGGGGTTGGGGCTGGGATGGGTTTGGGGCTGGGATGGGGTTGGGGCTGGGATGGGGTTGGGGTTTGGGGGCTGGGTGGGGCTGTACAGTGACTGATGTCCTCTCTCTCTCTCTCTCTCTCCCCCACCCCAGTCCATGGGCTCAGAGACCTGTTCTGGCTCCCGATCGAGCAATACCGTAAAGACGGGAGGATTATGCGGGGTCTGCAGAGGGGGGCAGCTTCCTTCGGCACCTCAACAGCCTCGGCTGCCCTCGAGCTCAGCAACCGACTGGTCCAGGCCATTCAGGTACCCGGGAGAGGGGAGGGCGAGAGAGGGGGAGAAGGGGGAAGAAAGGAAGATGGAGGGAGTGCAAGGAGAGAGAGAGAGGGAGGGAGGGCGGGAGGGCGGGCGAGGGGGGGAGAGAAGAGAGGGGAAAGAGAGAGAGTGAAGGAGGGGGCTAGAGAGAAAGGGGGAGAGAGAGGCCGGGAGGTGGGGAAGAGAGGGAGGGAGGTGTGTGTGTGTGTGTGTGTAGGGCAGGGTGTCTCAGTCTCTCTGTGTCTCAGTCTCTGTGTCTCAGTCTCTGTGTCTCAGTCTCTCTCTGTGTCTCAGTCTCTCTGTGTCTCAGTCTCTGTGTCTCAGTCTCTCTCTGTGTGTCTCAGTCTCTCTGTGTCTCAGTCTCTCTGTGTCTCAGTCTCTCTGTGTCTCAGTCTCTCTGTGTCTCAGTCTCTCTGTGTCTCAGTCTCTCTGTGTCTCAGTCTCTCTCTGTGTCTCAGTCTCTCTCTCTGTGTCTCAGTCTCTGTGTGTCTCAGTCTCTCTGTGTCTCAGTCTCTCTCTGTGTCTCAGTCTCTCTGTGTCTCAGTCTCTCTGTGTCTCAGTCTCTCTGTGTCTCAGTCTCTCTGTGTCTCAGTCTCTGTGTCTCAGTCTCTCTCTGTGTCTCAGTCTCTCTCTGTGTCTCAGTCTCTCTGTGTCTCAGTCTCTCTGTGTCTCAGTCTCTCTGTGTCTCAGTCTCTCTGTGTCTCAGTCTCTCTCTGTGTCTCAGTCTCTCTGTGTCTCAGTCTCTCTGTGTCTCAGTCTCTCTGTGTCTCAGTCTCTCTGTGTCTCAGTCTCTGTGTCTCAGTCTCTCTGTGTCTCAGTCTCTCTGTGTCTCAGTCTCTCTGTGTCTCAGTCTCTCTGTGTCTCACTCTCTCTGTGTCTCAGTCTCTGTGTGTCTCAGTCTCTCTGTGTCTCAGTCTCTCTCTGTGTCTCAGTCTCTCTCCCTCGCTGTGTGACAGGCGACAGCAGAGACGGTGTATGACATCCTCTCGCCCACCCCCCCCATTACCAAGGCCTTGACTGATCGCAGACACCTGAGGAGATCGCGGAGAGGACAACAGCCGGCTGACCTGAGGGAGGGGGTGGCCAAGGCTTACGACACCGTCCGAGAGGTAATCCCTTCAGCCGAGCGTCTGAAACCCTCTCACTGTCTCTCTCTCTCTCTCTCTCTCCATCTCTCTCTCTCTATCTCACTCTCTCTCTCTCTCTCTCTCTCACTGTCTCTCTCTATCTCTCCCTCACTCTCTCTCCCTCTCTCTCACTGCTACAGGGCGTGTTGGACACGGCCCTCACCATGTGTGACGTGGCCGCCCGGGGGCACGAGCAGAAGGGGCTGACGGGGGCGGTGGGCGGGGTCCTGAGGCAGATCCCCCCCACGGTGGTCCGGCCTCTGATCGTGGCGACGGAGGCCACCTCCAGCCTCCTGGGGGGCATGAGGAACCAGATCCGACCTGACGCCCGCAAGGACGACAGTTTAAAATGGCGATCGGAGGAGAACCGGGAATAGTGAGCCTGGAAAACCAGCCGGGAATAGCAACCCGTGAAGGCCTCTCCCGGCTCCGACACTGACTGACTCTCTCTCCTCCCGGGCAAAGCTTTTTTTCTTTTTTTTTTTGCTGTTCGTATGTTTTTTCCGACACACACGGAAACCCGTCGCCGTGACCGGTCGGGTGTCTGACGCACACACACACGGAAACCCGTCACCGTGACCGGCCGTGTGTCTGACACACACGGAAACCCGTCACCGTGACCGGTCGGGTGTCTGACGCACACACACACGGAAACCCGTCACCGTGACCGGCCGTGTGTCTGACACACACACACACGGGAAACCCGTCACCGTTGACCGGCCGCCGGGTCTGACACACACGGAAACCCGTCACCGTGACCGGCCGTGTGTCTGACACACTTAAGAGTCTCCAAACCCGACCGAGAATTCCCCACATTCCCGGCTTCACATGGAAATCCCAGAGAGGGATTGTAGGAATGGAATGCGCTCTCTCTCTCTCTCTCTCCCTGTTGCGCGCTCTCTCCCTGGAGGGCCACACAGGGAGAGAGAGAGAGAGAGAGAGAGAGAGTGAGCGCCGATGTGGGGCTGAACGTGGGAACTTCGCTGCTTCCCGGACAGCGAGTGAGGGAGTGGGTCAGAGTGACTCACTCCGAGTCAGACTCGGCTAAACTGTTACCGGTGGCAGTGGGGCTGTGTGTGTGTGTCTGTGTGTCTGTGTGTGTGGGTGTGTGTCTGTGTGTGTGTCTGTGAGACTGAGAGAGTGTCTGTGTGTACATGAGTGTGTGCCCCCCCACCCTCTGGAACTCCATCCCACAGCCCCTCGCCCCCTTCCTCCCTCCCTCCTTCCCTCCTTACACCCCTCCCTCCCTCCCTCCCTCCGTCGCCTCCTTCAAGACCCGTCTCAAGACCCTCCTCATCGACCGCGTCTCATAACCCAGGTATCTCAAGTCTGTGTGTGCGCCCTGTGTGTGTGTGTGTGTGTGTATGTGTATGTGCATGCTGTGCGTGTGCACTGTGTGTCTGTGTGTGCGCGCGCTGTGTGCGTGCGCTGTCTGTGCGTGCGCGCGCGGCGTGCGTGTGCTGGTTGCGCGTGCGCACTGTGTGTTGCGTGCGCTGTGTGTATGTGCGCTCTGTGTGCGCGCGCTGCGTGTGCGTGTGCGTGTGTGTGTGTGAGCTGTGTGTGTGTGTGCGCGCTGTGTGTGTGGGGTCGAAAGTGGGAATGGAGTGGGGTGGGGTGGGTGGGGTGGGGTGGGGTGGGTGGGGGGTGTTTGTGACCCGGTGCTGTGTTCATGACTGTGAGATTGATGGGTATTACATGTGTTATTGTGTATAATACAAACCCACTGTACATAAACAATACAATACCTTTAAAAAGTGCAATTATCAAACAACAGACCAACCGCCTGTGTGTGAAGGTACATTTGTCTCACACTGACCCCATATCAGGAGGTAATATCTGTGGAGTATATTAATGATCATTGTAATTCCCTTTGTTATTCCAGGAGACAAAACTATTTATTTTACACGGGTTCTGACCCCAAAACACACACACGGACACCTGTCACCGTGACACACGGAAACCGCTGCGTGTCCAGCCCGGACCCCCCCCCCCCCCCCCCGCCAGTCAGTCAGTGGGGGCTATGGCTGTGGGGTTACCAGGGGCTGAGGGGAGGATTCTCTGCCCCCAGTGACTGGTCGGCCCTTTCCAGGTCCTCCCGTGTCTGGGCCGGACCGCCACCAGCAGTGAGTGCCCGGGGACCCTCGGCCCCTCCGGGCTCGGGAACCGGGGACCCTCGGCCCCTCCGGGCTCGGGAACCGGGGACCCTCGCCCTCCGGGCTCGGGAACCGGGCCCCTCCGGGCTCGGGAACCGGGGACCCTCGGCCCCTCTGGGCTCGGGAACCGGGGCCCCTCCGGGCTCGGGAACCGGGGACCCTCAGCCCCTCCGGGCTCGGGAACCGGGGGCCCTCGGCCCCTCCGGGCTCGGGAACCGGGGGCTCGAGACCCTCACAGAGGGAGGGGGCAGAGACAGAGAGAGAGAGACCGGCACAGACGGGGTGTGGGGGGGGGGGGAGGGCTGGGGCTCGATCCCCACATACAATCTGTTCGGAATGATAAGTATTTTGCTAAAATTAGTGTCCAAGAAGCTGTAGTGCGTTATACTAAAGGTCATCAGGAACACGTGTGTGTGTCCCTGTATGTGTGTGGGTCCGTGTGCGTGTCCGTGTGTGTGTGTGTCCCTGTGTGTGTGTCCGTGTCTGTGTGTCCCAGTGTGTGTGTCCCTGTGTGTGTGTCCGTGTCTGTCCCAGTGTGTGTGTGTGTCCGTGTCTGTGTGTGTCCCTGTGTGTGTGTGTGTGTCCCTGTGTGTGTGTTTGTGTCCCTGTGTGTCCATGTGTGTGTGATCTCACCATTCAATGTTCATCGCCCACCCCCTCTTCCCCCCCTTTCTCTGGGTGGTGGGGGGGGGTGGGATGTGAGATGTCTCAGTGCCACCCCCCACCCCCCCCCCCCACCCCACCTCTCGCCCCTCAGGTTGTCTCGGTGTCTGTGAGCCTCTGCGTCAGGGCCTGGGAGAAGATGTCCATGAGGTTATGGAGCCCCAGGAGGTATCCATCCTCTCGGTTCCCCTCCTCCCAGGGAATGTCGTGCCTCAGGGTCTGGCCCTGGGGGAGGGCTGTGGTCTTCCCAAAGTCGATCAGCCAAACCTCCGGCTTCCCCAGACTCTCGTGGACAAACAGCAGCGAACTCCCGATCACCTACAGCAACAACAACAACAACAACAACAACACTGACCACCTCTCGCGGCAGGAGGGAGAACGTTCCCAGGCCCGGGGACAGTCAGGGGCTTGGACCCGAGCCGGACAGGGGGTTGGGATCGGGAGGGCGGGGAGGGTGGGGGTAGGAGGGTGACCGAAGGCCCGGTTGGTCAGTCGAAGAGGAAGGGGGCGCTGGGGAAATGCAAGTTGTCGTCGTTGGCTTCCACTTACCTCGTGCGTCTTGAAGAAGACCGACCGACCCAAAGCCTCTTCGATGGATCTCAGCTGTTCCAGGTAACCTTTCTGCGAAAGACAATCCCAATCCCTCAGCAAACAGTCACTACACTCCATTGCTATCGGGTGAATCCCCGGGAAGCGACAGAGAGAGAGGGAGAGAGAGAGAGAGAGAGACCTCTGTGTGTGGGAGCCACTGGGCTCAGATGTAAGGATTATTGTTCTTACTAATATTTATTATTGTAATTGTCGGGGCATCGAGGGGCGGTGGGGGGGCGGTGGGGGGGGGGCGAGGGGCGGGTAATTGGAGCCGAGGTACGGATCAGCCATAGAACGGCGGAACAGGCTGGAGGGGCTGAATGGCCTCGTCCTGTTGCTCTATTCCTCAGGGTCAGACCTCGAAACGCCCACCAGACACGAATAGGAACACGGTAACGTCCTCCGCCCACCCCCCACCCCCCCTCCCGCTTCCCCCCTACACCCCCCAACCCCCCCCCCCTCCCGCTCCCCACCCCCCACCCCTCGGCCTCTCGGTCTCAGCCTCACCAGAATGTCCACCTCACCCCCAGTGAACCTCAGTAACGTGGCTGTGATCTGCTCTCGGCTCCGCGTTTGCTTAAAGTCTTTCAGGACTTTCCCATCGGCCGTCTGTAACTCAGACAATAATCACATTACAGCCCACGGTCTGAGCGGCCGATAGTGTTATTGTTATCATTGTTATTATTGTTATTATTGATGTTATTACTGTTATTATGAGGTTTTAACGCCTCTCGCCCGAAGGATGGTGTCTCCGACAATACGTCTCTCTCTCTCTCTCTCTCTCTCCCCCCCCCCAGCGCTGTCAGCCTGGACTGTGAGCTCAGAGTCCCCTACGTGTTTGTGTGTGTGTTTGTGTGTGTGTGAGTGAGTTTGGGGGGTGGGGGTGGGGTTCGAACCCACAAACTCCTGACTTAGAGGCGAGAGCGCGAGCGTCTGAGCCAGACTGACCCTCACCCTCGCCCTCGCTCTCGCTCTCTCTCGCTCTCTCTCTCTGCTGTACAGATCTGCGCTAACATCCTGAATCTCTGCCTGAGGGAGCTGTTTGAGTTTGGTTATATGCAGACCGACCCCAACTGGTCTAATTTTCTGTACGACCCTCAGTCCGAGAAGGTAGGTGTGCCCCCCCCCCCCCCTGTGTGAGCGGGGGTGCCTGGGGTGGGGGATGGAGAGGTGGGCCGGGGTGGGGGGGTGGGTGGGGGAAGAGTTTATTATTATTATTATTCCTGGGATTCGATGGGGCTCTGATCTTGACATCCGGTTCTAATAATCCTTGCATTCGGTTCCTGGGTCTTTCACGTGGGGAGGACATCCCAAAGCGCTTCACAGTGAAGCGTAGTGACTGTGCGTTTCCTGGGCCGACGCAGTCCGGTGGGGGCGGAGGTGGGGGTGGGGGGGGGGTGGGGGGTTGTTAGGCAACAAAACAATGGGGGTGGGGGCGGGGAGATGGAGAGTGGGAGTGAGGTCGACGAGAGGCAAAGGGGGCGAGAAATCTGGGATGGTTTCGAAATGGGCTCGAGTTGGGCGACAGGAAGCGGGGGAGTCAGGTCGTGCGGGATAAAGTAACTGTGTGTGAGGTGACGAGGCTGTGTGCTCCCCCCCTCACCCCCCCCCCACCCTTTGTCTACAGGTCTCTCTGCTGGACTTCGGTGCCACGAGGGAGTTTAGCAAAGAATTCACAGATGAGTATATTGAGGTGGGTGAGAGTCGTCTCTCACGCGCAACCTGTCCCATCGCAGACCCCCCCCCCCACCCTGTAGATCTCGAGCGGGTTGGTGTGTGTGTGTGTGTGTGGGTGGGGTGGGGTGGGGGGGGGGGGGGAGAGAGAGGTAAGAGGGGTCTACTTGGGGCTGAGCTGGCACCAAGGGAATCCTCCCCGTCAACTCCTGTTCACCCTGCAGCCAAAGCTCTCATCCACCCACCCACCGACCCACCCTCTCTCTCTATTTAACGAACTAACTATCTAACTGACTAACTGACTACTAACTAACTAACTAACTAGGAGGGTGGTCCTATGGTCCCGGGTAAGCATCGGGAAAGCTTGGCCAGACAGTGCGCTCTCTCGATGGCCAAGCTACGTGGGGTGTAGCTGGTTAGGTTTCCCAGATACCTGCGTGCGGACGGCATATAAATGTATGTCTGCTTGTTGTCCCCCCCACCCCCCACCCCCCCCCCCGAGGGCAGATTATCCGGGCGTCAGCCAAGCTGGACAGGGAGGAGGTGTTGAGGAGATCCATCAATCTGAAGTTCCTGACGGGATATGAAACCAAGGTAGGGAACGCCGGGCACCAGTGGTGTAATAATAATAATATTGAGCTCTCAACGATGTGATGAGGCGCTACATCAAATCCAAGGATGATTATTATTATTTTTTGGGGTGTGATGCTCCCGCTGATGACCTGTTGTTACCCCTCCCCCACAGGAGATGATCGATGCCCACGTGGAAGCTGTGATCATCTTGGGCGAGGCCTTGGCTTCCAAGAAACCCTTTGACTTTGGCAGCCAGAGCACGACCCGGCGCATCCACTCCATCATCCCCGTCATGGTCAACCACCGGCTCACGCCCCCGCCAGAGGAGACCTACTCGCTCCACCGCAAGATGGCCGGCTCCTTCCTCATCTGCACCAAGCTCAGGGCCCACATCGCGTGCGGCAACATGTTTGAGCGAGCCTACGCCAATTACTGGGGGAGAAGGCGATAGGATTCCCCGGAGAGCGAGGAACGGGATTTCAGGAGGAGGAAGGCTTGGGGTGGGGGGGGGATGGGGAATAGGGCGGAGCAGGAGGAGGGGGAGGTCACCAGCTCAGTGTCGCTCACGCTCCCCTGGGTCTCTCTCTCTGCCAGTGGTTCTGCCGCCCTCGGTGTCTTCAGTTCAGACCATCCCAGCGTCCATCCCGCAAGAGGCTCACACAGAGGTGCTATGCATTTGCTTTAGAGTAGGACTGGAGTTGGGGGGGGGGGGGCGGGGGGGTTTGTGTGCGTAGTCCAGAGTGAGAGGTTCCAGGTCAGGGTGGGAGGCTGTGGGGAGAAAGAGAGAGACTTCATTCTCTTTTTTCCTCCCCGACATCTTTAAAGTCCGCCCCGAACAACAATGGACAATGTAAACGTAAGCCGAACAGGCTCAGATGGGGGGCGGGGGTGGGGGGGGGGGGGGGTGAGCGAGGTTTAACGTCTCACCCAAAGGACGGTGGCTCTCTCTCTCCCTCTTTCTCTCCCCAGCACTGGGCCTGTGAGAAAGGGCCTCAAAGTATCCTTTACCTCAAGGGTCAGTGGCCGGGGTTATGAGCGAAGGACAGTTGAGGCCTGGACACTGGGAGTCCTGGATAGGACGCAGCTTAACGCTGTCTCGTTGGTGGGCGATGAGAACATAAGAACTTTGTTGGCGTAAGAAGGCCGAGGTCCATCCCGTTCGACTTCCACCATCCGGCAGTCGCTCGACACGTCGCGCCCCAAACTGTGCACCGTATCCTCTTTCCCCGGGTATTATTTCCTGACAGAAATCGATGGCATTCCCCCCCTCCCTCCGTCTCCCTCGCGGGCCGTGTGCCCTGGTTCTGCCGGTCAGTACAAGACACAACAGCTGATATCGTGGTCTCCGCAGGATTCCAGTCGCTCTGGAGTTTCAAAGACGGTGACCCTCGCGCCCCTCGGGCTTCGGGGAGGATCCTCTGATGAGGTTGAAGAGCATCGAAACATCTCATCGTCAACTCTCTTCTCCCCCAAGTTTGTTCCTCCAACTCACTCCCTCATTCCTTTCCCCTTCTTCAACTGATGTAATTGTGTGAAAATGTATATATGGGGAGTGGGAAAGGGAGGGAGGGGGAGAGGAGGGGGGGGGAGGGGGGGGGGGAGGCGGGAGGGGAAGAGAAGGAGATAGTTTTGAAATTTCAGTGTGGACTCGGAATGATTTTAGGCACATTTCTCTCTCTCTCTCTGTAAAAACACTTGTATAAATAGTGACTCACACACAGAATTGGGAGTCTGGTCTCCATGTCGGGTGTGAAAGTGGCTCAGAGTTGATTTCATGAAAATATGAAAGAACTGCTATTACTTAATTACTCCGAGTAATAACGAAACGTGGCTTTTTTTTTCCCACTTATAATAATAAAAAGAAGAATCGGCCGCGGGTCTGACACACACGGACACCGGGGTCAGCGTGAGCAGCTGGAGGCTGATACTCGGCGAGGGGCAGTGGGAGAGGGACAGGGGCCCCTCAGTAAACTCACAGAGATCCCAACACACAGGACCGAGTCCCCCAGAGACCTTGTGGGGACTATGGGACACCTCACTGATCCAGGGAGCAGCCATTGCACGATCCACGTGACCACACCAAGTACAATTAAACGTTTGTGAGAAAAACAATTTCCACGCCTGTGAAAACTTTTGACGGATTTAATTGACGCAAGGCACGAAAATACTGTTTAAATTTACACATTCCCGTGTGAAAAAGTGAGTCAGGACGCTTAATATTTAAGAGGACTGCGTCACGTTAGTGAGAATTTGCGCATCGAGTGTGACCGCTCCTTGTAAACCCTGACTTGTAAAGAGAACAACAACAACAAACAGTCCTGGCATTTGATAAAGCGCCTTATCACATCTTCGAGACGTCTCAAAGCGCTTCACAGAATTTACTGTACAGTGTAGTGACTCTACAGTTTGTGGGCGAAACGCAGCAGCCAATTGCGCACAGCAGCGTCCCACACACAGTCGTGGGCTGAGTAACAAAATTATTATTTTTTTAAGGGAAAATCGATCCACCGATCGACCAACAACCGGGTTCCTACTCACTGCTGAGTAAACAGAGGTGTGTAGTGTAAGGAAACTATTTTCCCGGCTGAGGATCAAACCCAAGGCCTCTTGCTTTCAAGGCTCTAAATGTTGGAATTTCCTCCGAGAGGCTAAATCGGGAGCAGGGAATGGCGGGGTGTGGGGGGGTGGGGGGGAGTGGTCAGACTCCCGCTCAGTGAATACCTTTGCTCTCTCACTGTTCCACTTTGCCGTTGGCGAGGTTCTGGCTGGTGGCAGGGAGGCTGGTCTCTCCTCTGGCACAGACAGGCTGCTCAGCAGAGCTCGGCGTAGGACGTGGGGGCAGGAGGGCCCGGCCGGAATATCCCCAAAACCTGCCAACACGGTGAAAATCAGCTGCCGCAAAACACACAGTCACCACACTGTACAGTCAATCCTAACTCTGTCTCCAACTCCCGCTGTCACTGACCTGGGGAGTGTGGAGGGACACACAGTGTAGAGGGAGCTTTACTGTGTGAGAGCTGTAGAGAGGAGGTGATGTGACTCACCTTTCTGCACCACGTCCGGCAGCCCATACGGCTCGTACTCCGTGTCGTCGAAGGCCACCGACAGGTGCTGTAGAAACCCCCGTCTCTGCAGTAACTTCCGGGCCAACTCTGCCGGCTCCACCTTCAGCCCCAGCTCCGTTGGCTGCATTCTCGCTGTGTGTAATCGCACTCCCTGCTCCCCACCTGTCGCCTTCCTGCCGGTCCTTCTGCTCGTATCCTGGTCAACGACGCCTCTCGTGTGGGGGTCTCGACCTTTTGTGTGGGGGTCTTGGCCTCTCGTGTGGGGTGTCGGCCTCTCGTGTGGGGGTCCCGGCCTCTTGTGTGGGAGTCTCGACCTCTTGTGTGGGAGTCTCGACCTCTCGTGTGGGGTCTTGCCTCTCGTGTGGGGGTGTCGGCCTCTTGTGTGGGAGTCTCGACCTCTTGTGTGGAAGTCTCGACCTCTTGTGTGGGTGGTCTCGACCTCTTGTGTGGGGGTCTCGACCTCTTGTGTGGGGTCTCAACCTCTTGTGTGGGAGTCTCTACCTTTTGTGTGGGAGTCTCGACCTCTTGTGTGGGGGTCTCGACCTCTTGTGTGGGGGTCTTGGCCTCTCGTGTGGGGGTCTCGACCTCTTGTGTGGGAGTCTTGGCCTCTCGTGTGGGGGTCTCGACCTCTTGTGTGGGAGTCTCTACCTTTTGTGTGGGAGTCTCGACCTCTTGTGTGGGTGTCTTGGCCTCTCGTGTGGGTGTCTTGGCCTCTCGTGTGGGGGTCTCGGCCTCTCGTGTGGGGGTCCCGAGAGCTTCTTGAGTCTCAGGCTCT